ATATATTCATAAATAAGATAAAAAGATGAAGAGACAAGAAAAATTCCTTATGGAGAAGGCGAAATATAGTATATAAGGATACATGAAAACAAGCTAATAAATATTTCAGATCCATTTTTATATTTTATAGAGTTTTCGTTTATTTAATAATTCAATAATCTCAAGAGCACAAACAGACTAAGCAGACAGACGGAAGGAACGTGTATATAAACTTGTATATTGGTATATTATAAATATATATTTTTGTTCATGCTCATATATTTAAACAGCAACAAAATAACCTGTTAAGCTTGCGAAATATATATAGACATACATTGGAATATAAACAATTAATTGCAGTTCAGCTGAAATAAGTCATATAAAATCAATTATTTTAAAAATATTGAAATGTGAAATCAATCTAGGCATAAGTTAGAGTGAGAGAGGGAGAATAAGGAATCTATTAAAGAAATTCAACAGACGATGCATCGCCAATTAAATTGTATTGGGTTTTTTATGATTATCAATCAAGTATATTTACAAAAATTAAAACAAAAAGTGTTTTGTTTTTTTTATTTACCTGCAAATTAAGTTTTAAATTCTAGCGCCATATGTTCGGTTTGAGCACTCGAATTTGATTCTTGATCACTAGGCCTTACTCCATTTATCATATGATATATCATAGTATACTATATAGATCTATGGGCCCATCACTTGACACAGCTAAGCTGACTTTCATTTGTAGAGCAGAAGAAACGATTTATTTGGATTTGCCAGACGCTTGCACTGATTGCCGGACCATCAAGTGACTGGACTAGAGAACTATTTATAGAAGCCACAGTCACGCTCTGAGCTATATTTAACCCAATCAAGCATCGGGCCTGACCTCTTGGGAGCCTTGGTTGGGTGCTATAAAAGCCGGAGGCCAATTCACAGCGCAGTTCAAGTTCAGATCGAGAGCCCAGCAACCGTTCTATAGCTATAAGATGGAAAAGGTTCTTGTCATTTTGCTGATGTATTTCGCTGCAGCTGTTTTTGGAAGTGGGGAATCGTGTGCACCCGGCAAGAGCTGCGTCTCCTATGACCTGTGCAATGAGGGTCTCCTTGTGGATGGCCACTTCTACTCCGATCGCAGTCGCACTCTGCAGGACGAGCAGCACTGCCACTATATGGAAAAGTGCTGCAGTGCGAACGAGACGGTAGGTAGAGTCGCAACTCTTATGCAATGAGTCCTTTCTAAAGTTGAGCTTCAGCTTGCAGTTGGTAACGGATTCAACTATAGCGATGCACTGTCAGCACTGCCTCAGTGTGGCGGACGCCTGGATCTTTGGCTTCATTTGCGTCCGATGGGATACAAGAAGCAGGAGTCAAAGTTCGGCGAGTTTCCCTGGCTGGTGGCGATCTATGGAGCAGACGGATACCTTTGCAGTGGAGCTCTGATCACACCACTTGCTGTTCTAACCGCCGCACACTGCGTCCAGGCCCAAATGGCAACGGATCTGCGTCTGGTGGCAGGCGAATGGGATGCAGCAGTTGAGCTAGAGCCATTGCCGCACCAGGAGCGAAATGTGTCCGAGCTGCTAATCCATCCCAACTACACACAATCCCCCGCAGCTCACAATCTGGCACTGCTGCTGCTCGACTCACAGGCGGCATTCGAGCTAGCGCCACACGTGCAGGTGATCTGCCTCCCGCCCATGCAGCTCCTCTACAACTACAGCCAGTGCTACGTGGCGGGCTGGCGGCACTCGGAGCTCAGTCCCAATGAGAGCCTGCCCAGGCGCTGGCCCCTCTACATTCTGCCGCGCGATCAGTGTGGCTCCAAGCTGCGCTTGGCCATCTTGGGTCGTCGCTTTGCGCTGAACGAGACGCTCCTCTGCACTGGCGGCGACAAGGACCCCATTGTCTGCGGCGACATGGGTGCCGTTCCCCTAATGTGCCCTCTCCCCGGCAGCGATGATCGCTATGTGCTCGCCGGGCTGCTGGCCCGTGCCGCCCGTTGCGATGGCCCTCAGCTCTTGAGCATCTACTCGAACGTGAAGTACTACAGGCGCTGGATCGATCAAAAGTTGAGCGAACGCGACCTGGACATAAGACATTATATGGTTTAAGGTAGATGGAAGGAAATAAGAGAGAGAGAGAGGTCTTTATGCTGAGTGCTGTGCAAGAATTTCTAGCTTTTATAAAACTTAAGGATCGATATACATACATAAATACATAAATAAATAGATAATAAATCTGCTTTAGAACTAGAATCGTCAATTTGACAAGTGTATTCCTATCGATATTCTTTATGCGTGCATTATTATTATGGCATTATCTTGCTAGAGAAATTGGAGATTGAATAAATATTTGGCTTGAGCAGAGCGACAAAGGTTAATCATGGTGAGACACACCAATTTATACAAATGATCTATGTACATACATACATATATGATTAGGGGTAAGTTAAAAAGGCTGCTCGACATACATATGTACATACATACACATGCATCTACACGTACGTATAAGCACGCGCTCTGCTAACTGCGCAGTAAGCAGCGACTGCGCTTGGGCTGCGCTGCAGTGTTTGTAATATTGTGAGAATTTATTTATGGAATAATTTTCTTGTAGTGGGACTATCTTAATGAAACTATCAGAACGTGATCATAATAATGTATGTATATTCCGAAACACAAGTCTCTAGTACATGAAATAGGTCTTTACAAATTGTGGGCGAAGGGGGCGTGGTATCCATAATCTGTACATTACAAAATCTTCGTATCGATCAATTGAATATACACAGTAAATCTCAAGTCTCTAGGTCTAAAAGCGTTCAAACACTAACCAGTGTTGTCTGAAAAAACGAAATCTATTTATCGATCAAAAATATATCGGGTGAGTTATCGAATGAGAATATCGAATACTGGGACTGGGCTATATTAACTCAGCTCGTCGTCCTGATCGAGAATATATATACTTTATGGGGTCTGCGATGATTCCTTCTGCCTGTTACATACTTCCCACAAAACCAATTTACCCTGATTTCCTATTTTCAATGAACAGAGCAGAGTTAGAGCTCAGGGTATTTCCTAGTTAGGCACAACCAACTATGCCAGCTACCTACTAACAGTTATATGAACATGTTCATACACTACCTGAAATATTGGGTAACTCCTAACAAAGTTGACGAGTAGATCGGCTTCGCCTTCAATTCTTTGCCAAACAAATTTGTTCTTCACTCTTTTTTTACCATTGAAATTTATTGAATGTAGCTCTAAAATCAAAAATAACATACATAGCTAATACATACGTATATAGATCAATTGATTGAGGATTTCAAAACTAATCCATCTGTTGCATTTCATACTTTTGTATATGGATCGAATATAGCTCCAAAATATTATATAACATTGGAAATATGTATATGGATTAATTGCTTAATAATCGAAGACTGTGCTGGATTCTGTTCAATTCAATTTCAAGTTTGTCTTTTGATTTTACTTTTATTCCACTTCAGATATGAATTCCAAATGTGTCGCATATTGAATGATAAAACCTGGTCTACAAGCAAAACAAAAAATAAGCATACTATATATAGGGTATATTATGAAAAAATATCTGATGCACATAATGGCGTATTAACTATGCTAAGTCGATGCTCGAACTTATCATCCGCTAGGGTGGGCCCACACGAATCTCTCATGGGATGGGGCTGGTATGTGTCCCGGTTGGTCAGCTCATTCAGTCCTGCGTCAGTCCCAGCCAGCTCAAGCAACGTCACAGCGTATCGTTGAACAGACGTTTGCTTTTCGTGAAGTTGGGATGAATGGGGCCGGGCAGCACGTGCGGCTTGAGAGCGCTTTTGCCGGGCTGCCGGTTCGCATCGTAGGGCAGCTGCGGCGATAGCTTCAACTGTCGATAGTAGTCGCTCTTGGGGTAGGCGCTGTTGCACTTCGTCATGATGCGGACTCGCTTGCTGCCGCTTCCCGTCTGCGGCGCTGCTGCTAGTTTCAGCCGTTGTGCTGGATTCTTGGGAGTTCCTTGGACAGCGAGCGGATTCATCAAGAGCTTGCTGTTGGCTTGCTTCAGTTGCACTTTGCGCGATGGCACAAAGTAATCCCTTTCGCCATCCTCCAAGGGTGCGTCCCAGCCGTTGTTTGACTTCGTCGTGGATTCAGCTGCTTTAGTTTCTCCCTCTGTGGTAGATTCCTGTTCGGGTTGTGGTACTTTTGGCTTCTCAGTGGCCGGCTGCTTGGCCTGCTCCTTGGACTGAGCCTTGGGCTGCTGTTTCGATTGCCCCTTGGACTGATCATTGGATATTGGCTTGGACTGCTGTTTGACCTTTTGCTTGGGCTGCTCATCCTTCTCCTTAGTGACTTTCTTAACCTTGTTTAGCACTGGCTTATCTTCCACTACCGTAGTCGTTGTCGTAGTCTGCTCGGTTGCATCTACCTCCTCCACCACCCAGGCATTATTAATGCTGGAGCGTACCTTCTCATTGTGCTCGACTTGCTTCTGTAGTTTGGGTGACAATGCTTTCTTGATGACATCGTCAAAGTTGTCCTCATCTACCTCATCGAAGTTGATAGACTTGAGAAGACGCTTTCGCTTGGATTTGCTTAGCTTTTTGAGACTGCGCACAGTGCCAAAGTTCGACTCCTCAAACTCATCAGCCTCACGGATCTTCTGCTCCACGAGCTCTGCAAATGGTGTGCCCTCGGGCTTGGGCATGTTACGCACACCCAATGGAAATTCGCCGCTTGCATACGTCTCAAAAATGTGGACTAGCTTACGCAGTCCCTTGCGCCGCTTGCTGTTGTAGTCCTGCGTGCGGAGCAGTGTCTGAAGCTCGTCCAGCACACAGTCGGCATTTAGCGGTAGTTCTGGCATCAGGACATCTACGTTTCCTGCACGTGGATCAAGAGTGGGGGTTTCTTGCTGCTGCTCCTCCTCATCCTCTTCCTCCTCCTCATCGAAGCCAGAGTCCATCTTCTCCACATCGTCTATGGAGCTGCTGGGAAAACCCATCTCTTTCCATGCCTTGTATTTCTCGCTATATTCTCTACCCAGTTCACTCTGGTAGAGCAAGTGATAGAGGACGCGCGTGCGGCACTGCGACACTAATTTGGCGTCCCGCTGTGTACCCACATAGTGTACAAACGGGCGCAGGAAAAGATTAACCTGTTCGGCGGTGATCTCCTCATTGGCTGCCTTGGCCAGCTCCTCGAAGAACACATCCATGTAGTGCATAGTAATCCCACGAGACTTTGGCTGCGCCGCAAGCACCGACTCATTCATGCTTTTATTAAATGCCTCTATCAGATCCTTGTCCCATTTGCTTTTCTTGAGCAGGCGTAGCATGTAGCGCAGCATACGACGTACAAGCATCAAAAATTTATCCATTCGCCACTGATCAATGCCAAACCACTCCTGGCACATAGTGCGCATAAAGGCGCTGAAGTACGCCAGACTGCAGGCAGTGTTGCCTCCAAAGCTGTCTATCATTTGAGCCAGCTGCTCGGCTAGCTCCTCTTGCACAAGCGGCTTGTCCGACATCCATACGTTGTAGTACAATCCTTTCCAAATCCGCATGAAATCGTCCTCGGTGAAGGGAAACGAACTTGCCGCTCGCAGCTGGAACCATTTTCGCAATTTGCGGATCTGACGATTTCGCTTTGTTAAGTCATTGCAGGCCAATGCACGCACGATTTTCACCTCCTGCGCAATCACAAGCAACTCCTTTGGCACCTTGGCCTGTGATGCACCATTGCTATCTTCGCTCTCATTGCCTTTGTCAATTGCAGCCACCTCAGCGCTGCGCTTTATTGGTCGCTTTTTTGTGACCATAATTGATTGTTAACAAAACGACAGGAACTTTTTCTCAAATTCCTCTGGTATGTATTGAACGCGGTTGCTACGAGAGAGAGGTGGGCGCACGTGTTGTGCGGCCCCGCAGTAATCGATTACTATTTGAAGCTCTGTTTGTCACATTTTGCAACACTTGTCAGAATTGCAAGCGTTCAATATTGTAAATACTAGAAGGTAATGCGACGAAATTCATACAAACTGTTTCAACATATCATCATGTCGTCTTCATATGACAAATTTTGTTATCTTTTAGAAAAAAAATCTTAAATGCATTACATATATTATTCTGTTAAATATTGTACATATAAAGAACTATATGTATTTATGCATTTATGACATACTAGCGGTTAAATAAAATCGATAATAACTTTTCATTCGAAGTTTCGTGGTTTCGATAATTAATATATTTATTATTGTTAACTCGTTAATTAAAATTAAACTCTTTTATTGAAACAAATTAGTTACAAAATCATTTTATTCATATACATCAAGCATTTACATATGTATTTCACGTATATATTCTTACCGGCTTTAAATACTAAAGAAATAATGCGTTGCTGGGCAGCACTTTTAACCAGCTGACATTCTAAGTAGCAATTCAGACTAAATTGGCCTTAAAAAGTTAATATTTTTAAAACTTCATCATCAAAATGCCTGTGTTAACTGTAGAAAACTCAGAGGACTATCAGAAATACATTAGCGCTGATAAAACAACTGTTGCCCTGTTCGCTGCCGACTGGGCCGAACAATGTGCTCAAGTTACCGATGTACTCAAAGAGCTGGACAGCATTTTGGGCGATAAGTTGCAATTCATTACGCTAAATGCTGAAAAATACCCTGATATATCAATGAAACATCAGGTAAGCTTATCTGCACACCGGACGCCTGAAGATGTCTGTACAAAACGTATTTCCAGATCGAGGCAGTGCCGACAGTAATATTCTTCAACAAGGGCTCGGCTGTGGATCGCGTGGATGGTGTGGATGTTGCTGCCATCACCAGCAAGTCCAAGAAGCTCGCCGAAAGTGCAAGCAGCGCTGCGGCAACTGGACAAACCTTGAAAGATCGTTTGACAGCGCTAATCAATAAGGCGCCGCTGATGATATTCATGAAGGGCGATCGAAACGCTCCACGCTGTGGCTTCTCCAAACAGCTTATTGCTATCATTAACGAAACAAAGTATGCACTAAATCTACATTTGTGGACAACATTTAATTTCGAGATATTTCAGTTTGCCGTATGAAACTTTTGACATTCTTTCTGATGAAGAGGTTCGTCAGGGACTGAAGACTTTCTCAGACTGGCCAACATATCCTCAAGTTTATGTAAAAGGCGAACTTATTGGGGGCTTGGATATTATCAAGGAGCTGCTAGCGAACAACGAACTGGAAGCGTCGCTAAAGGGCTAAACATTTCAAGTCATCCATCCTCTAATTAGTCAAATGAAATCTGGAACAACCAATGCTTCTCACAAATTTACAATGTCCAAAAACTTTTATATAAATAAATAAAAGTGTTTTTGACAGTTTTCAATATATGGAACCATTTCCGACTTAATTATTTTTTGAACTAATTTAATTATTTAGTGCCTATCGTTTTAAAATAATTATTTAAATGGTTAGCGAACATTTCCATGTGTACCTTAGTTATACGCATTATACAACACTGACAAAGCATAATTTGCTTAGCAGCACTGTAGCTGTAACAATCAGCTGATACGAGCGGCTTGCGAATAATTGTGAAAGTCCGAAATTACTGAAATACTACACAAATTGAAAATGGCTGAAGCCAACCCAGATGTCGTTGACGGTGAAGAAAAGAAACTTTCAGATATTTTTTTAAGTGGATGGAATCTCTTTGACGAGCTGGAGGTAACCGATCTGCCTTTCAATGGCGCTCCATTTCAGGTGAGAATAGGCAAGTCCAAGTCCTCTACAAGTATTAACAAATATTCATATTTTATATAGAGTAAAGTAAAAGAAGCAATGGGTTATTTCGAACAAGCGACTGTAATTGTCAATCAAGTGGGAATGTTCAGTCCTAATGAACTTATTGACGAGGTATCAACGGAATCGCTGCCCTTCATGCTCTTGCCATATTTCCTGGGGAAACTTACCACGAAGATCAACAATCCAAATGGTATAGAAGCCATAGAGCTAGGAGAAGTCTACTTTAAAGACCATCTGCAACGTTGCCAAGAGTACGAGCTCTGTGAAGCGCCTAAGAGCAAGGCGCAGCAGGACGGAAAGACGGATGCTGCGCAGCAGAAAAGCGAACAACGCGAACTGATTGAGGCTGCATACAATCGCAATGATAAAATTGCACAATATCGGAAGATGAAGGAAATTGACGAGTATATGACTCGGTTGCGCGCTGCTGTTAAGAACAAAGCGGTCGATGATGAAGTCCGACGTGAATTCTTTTTAAAATATTTAGATAAGAGCATCATAGAGGCCAAGCAGGAGCTGGAGAGTCTTCGTCTGATGAAAGAAATGGCTAAGATGCGCCTAGCACGTATGCAAGCCGGCGAACAAAAGCCTCTAGAAAACTCTACAGCATATCAGCAGACGAATGCTCCTGACATTGGCCACAAACATGGACATCACCATCATCATCATGCAGAACCGAAACCAAAGCCACTACAACCTTTTATTATAACACGCAATGAGACACAGAAGGCAGTCTTCGGCTTAGGCTATCCCAGTGTACCGATCATGACCGTCGATGAATTTTACCAGCAGCGCGTTGACGAGGGCATCTTTCCCGACGAGCAAAAAATGGCAAAGATAAATCAGGAGAAGGCCATTGCTGCCGCACAAGATCCCAACGAGAAGGAAGACCAAGAGAAGGCAGCCATAGAACTTCAAGTGGAGGATGACGATCCAGAGTATTTAGCGCGTATGCGACGCATGGACGAGTACAAGGATGTGGTCCGTCGTGGAGATGGAAATCGTCATAATCGTAGTTGAACTACTTATCACACTCAACTCATTAATATACATTACATTGAACAAAATTAAGTATTTTGTATGTTTATATATAAAACAAGCAGAGTAGACATCTTCCAAGCTTCAAATCCAGAAAAACTATACGTAAAATGCTCTTCATTACAGAGTCTAATATGCGCTTTATTAAGTAAGTAACATATTTGGATCAATTTTTCTTATATATGCCATAGAAAAACCAATAATACGATTGGAGATAACTGTTGGAGTAATGCCCAATCAATATTCTGTGAAATGAAATAAAATTCTTATCATTGATCAAAACTTAAGATCATGAGATTTTATTATTTGACATAGTACAGAACTATTTCAATTCAGTTAATTTCAGACAGTATTAGCTTAAAGATCAATTCGAAAATATATTGTTTAGAAAAAAAAATGTTAATATAAATAATTGAAAAGAAATCAAACTAATATTATGAGGTGAGGAATATTAAACTTCAAATAATAGTTGAATATTATATATAATTAA